AGAGGATGAAATGACGAACATTTCTCACGCTAACAAATTTTTTATTATATGGAATAACACTTCAATAAGTCGACTCCAGCCGATTTAACGTTACACATCGGATATCTGACGGCTTAATCTAATATACTCTCCACAAAAAAGTGAAAAAAGTGCCTAAAGAAGTTTTCACTTAAAAAACAGCTTTGCCATAATTATACTCTCAAATATGATATCATGTTTACTGTCCATCACATCAGGAATTGTTATAGATATATAATAAACCATTGTTAGGAACGTCTACTGTGAGCTAGGGATGGCCATTGATGGTCGTGGTATATTATCGAAATTTTCATTCCGATATTCGATATTTTACCATTATCATCGATATCTACTTAGATATTATCAACTTTCGATATCGCTCTTCGATATATTAATGTTTAATTTAAAAATTAAAATTAAAACTATCGTTTTTGGAGTGCCCTAGGAATTATATATGAATCTGATCGTTAGAATGAAAATGTGTGGGGTGTCTTATACTTCACAATTCCGTTAGATATAGCAAACTTCCACGATTTCGATTCTGTGAAAATATGTTTGAAAGTAGTCTCTGACATCTTGCGGAAAACTGAACCGACATTTTTCCACTATGTTTGTACAATCCGTTCCGTCAAACGATTCCCTTAATTTTCGACTGATAGGAATGTTCACCACTTCCTGATCTGTTGCTTGTAGAAGGATTTTAAAATCCTTTTTGCTCCGTTAGAGTGGAGGATTGGTTTGCGGCATTTCCGAGGCGATCTTCCATTTTCCAGTAGAGCAGAGACCATTAAAACCTATAGTTAAGTTACCATGGCTCATTTTATAATTGCGTTTTAATAGCATTAAAATGTGCTAACGATATTATATTATTAAAACTGGAATTTTATGAACTCGTACAGTATGTTTTTTGATAAGCTAGTTTTCACTTTATACATACTTTATATATGCTACAATATAGAGCGAGTGAGTAGCTTTAATAACTTAAATAAATTATAGCACTTTTTATTAATTAGTGGAAGGAGTCCTAACCTCTCTAATGTATTTCAATTTTACCAGAGAGAACGGATGTTTTTTTTTTTAATTTTAGATTTTTATCGACACTATTTTTTCAGAATCATCAAAACTAGGGAATCAAAAGATTATCATTAATATTTTAGGATAGGTGCGAATATAAATTTAAGTTAAAAAAATGATTGCAACAGTAGAAACTAAATAAACAATTTCAATCTTATTGTATCAGCTTTTATTTCCAATAAGCAATATGCTATTTCTCAACTTTCATAGTTACTCATAAAAAAATTAATTTAATAGTTATACAAGATATTCAATTATTATATCATATTAAAAGACAGCTGAATAATTCATCTTATTTTAGGCTGGCCCAAAAATGTAACACTTAGGCAAGACATCAGTTTGTTAAGCGCCATGAGATTTTCACCCACACACCTGTTCTCTGACATATGCTCGACTTATTTCAAATCTAATTAATCTTTTGTGGGCCTGAAAAGGCACGGAATTTCGAAATTGCGACAGGCCTTTCACTTCTAGCAGGGCGAATTTACAAAATGCCGAATGCAATAGCTGGTTACTACTGCTGGACTTTTTACTACACCTACTTTTAATTTCGTACATATGAAAAAAAAAGTTATAAAACAAGTTATTTGCCAATAATATTTCCTAAAACAAGTATTCCTGTCTAAATGGCAATCTCTCAATATCAAATTATATACGTGCGTATTGATTTATGGCTCCATTACTCATTTATTCATGTATTTTTTACAACGTTTCGGCCACATCTGAAGACATCTTCAGGTTAAAAATAGATTTTAATGAGCCCATACATATTTGCAGAGATTGAATGCTTATTAGAGTATAAGAATATAATTGCATTAAAGCAAGTAGAATGAGAGTAAAAGGACTCGTGGTCAGAATGGAAGCAAAAAGAGTTCGAGGAAGCTAAGAGAAATGGAAAAGCTTAATTCAATAATAAGGCCAAGGGTCAAGCTTACCTGTAAGAACTTGGGAGTTGGTGAATATTTAATATTTATTGTTTTTGTTTAGCATGTACAAGAAGGGACAAGTTCCTAAGCTCAGCGCTGACCTCATTGATGAGCTTCGGGAATCCATCAGGCCATTAATAAACTCATCGATGTGTCTATAAATGGAACATAGTGCGTTCCTTAATTTACAAACTGAATCACCGATAGCAGTTGCATCGCGTTCTTTTTTTAATCAATGAACCCACGGGATGTGGTAATTATGACTTCAGCGTTAATTTTCAATTTATGATATTATTTATATTGAATTTACTTACTAACTATATTTATTTCTGTTTTGAAATTAAACAATTCAGTAGGTAACTATTTCCTTATATGAGCCTTCCAGTTGAAAGAATGACTAATTTCAATTTTAACCTTAAAGAATGGTGTCGAAACTGGAGGATTAAAATATATCCCATCAAATCACCTTTATCCTTCACCGTAAACCTATGACCTCCTATCCTACAGTATCTTTTAATAATACCCCACTTATCCCTGTGGAACAAATCCGATACCTTGGACTCCACTTGGATAAACGTCAAACTTGGAATCCTCATACCAGACTGAAACGACAAGAAACCGTTCGACGTTTCCGACTAGTCCAACACTAAATAGACAAACGCTCTAAGCTTCCAGTTAATTACAATAGACTCATATACATGACTACAATAAGACCTATTTGGACTTACGGAATTGAGCTTTGGGGCTCCACTAAGGCATCGAATTCCTTTCGTGTCCAATCCTTACAATCCAAAATCCTTCGGAAAATCCTCAATGCTCCTTACTTTGACATCAATAAAATAATCCATAATTAATTAATTAATGTTCGTTATGTTTCCTATTCTGCCCAATCCAGATACATATCCTTCTATAATAAACTTCAGAACCATCCTAATCCTCTCGTTTCTAACCTTGCTTCTTCTTCGATTCCTGATAACCCTCCTAGGCGTCTGAAAAGAAGATAGCCTCGTGATCTCCTAATTTAGAAACTTTATTGGAGTGCTACCAATGGATAGATTCTCTACACGCTTTGTCATGTCATATATTTATCTTTATCACATTTGCTGAATGTTTATTAAAAGTACAGTTGTAAATTTCATAAATGATAATAATAAAAAAACATTATTGATTATTAATTTTAGTGATATCACTAGTGGGTATATTTATACCTTCATTCACAGTTCTGTATTTCAATACTGTAATCACCTACTCTGGAATCAACTTACTCACTGTCTGTACAGATATTATATATTTTCCAACAAGAAATATCACTAAAATGTCTTTACTTTAACATGTTAAAATTGGAGTTAGTCAGTTCAGTCAACTAAATTTATCAAGTGTTTTGTCACCTTACAGAAGTGTTTACCCTCAGCCAGAATCCAGCTGGTCGTTCCTAAAAGCAGTATATCTTGCCTAGATGTGCTGGATTAAATTTATTAATGGATTCCTTCCATTAGTTTAGGAAATTTCTCCAACAGGAAGACCTTTTTAACTTTTATCATCTATAATCTTAAATAAGTAAAACTAATATATATATATATATATATACAGGACGGTATCGATAATCCGAACCTCCTACTAATCCAAACAAGGAAGAGAAAAAGTTAAAGTTTACTGACAAGAAAAGACGAAATGGAAATGGCTCTATTTCTCAGTAAATATTACTGGAATTGCATCGTGCTATATTGTCGTAATCGGATTGTGGTATTTCTAAACGGAACGCATTAAAACTAGGCAGTCATCCAGAAGTTGAGGAATATAGATATGTGATTATTGTTGCTGATATCACAGCAGTGTCAAATTTTCAGGAATATACTATAACTGAGCAGAAAACTCAAAGTTTTTATTTAATAATCTTTTTAATAAGGATGACAAAGTAGATTGAACTGCCAGTAAAGCTTGGTTTGATAATTTCAAAACCAGGTATGGAATACGTTTTTATATTAATTTTTATTTCACTGGAAACTTTATTTTCATATTTTTTCCCATTATAGATAAGTCACAGAAACACCGTAAAGGCATTCAATATTTTGTTGGAATGGGCAAATGGATACAACGTCGAGTTCCAAAACCTGATAATTTAAAGGAATTTGCAATATCTGGCGTTTTATTTAGCAAAAAACTCAGAGATTCAACGTATATTATACGATCATATTCAAACTTTTTTTTTTTACAATGTGTTTATATGTAACTGATAATATTTACATTTTCATTACACATGTGCAATTTTCCCAACATTTTAAATTTAACCTTGGATAATGCGAACATTGTTTTTTATTTCTTTTATTGAGAGATATTACAATCTGTCACAAATAAGGACATTTATAATAGCGTTTAGAGAACACATTCACGCTCAATCAACAATAAATAAAAATAAATAATACAGAAAAAACAATAATACTAAAACTAAATGTATAAAAAACTAAAACAAACAAAAATAAAGTAAACTAATAAAAAACAACTACTCACATACACATACGCTTCTATACAATACCTAAAAAAAATCAAAAAAAAAAATCATTCATCCAAGATTTCCGAGCCAAGCCTTTCTCCCCACTCGAGGAAAGAAAGGCAGGACTTCTAGGAGATCCCAGCGCCTCTAAATCAGCCGCATTACTAGTATTAATAAATTAAACATTTTTATAAATCGAACCGGCCATGCCTGTAAGCAGACTATTATGTTTTAATTAATTTTTTGTTGATTACAACATTAATCAGGACTCGCTACGTCAGTGCGTACGATATAAGATAGATAATATACCTAGAGCAATGTTAAATCTTAACATCACCTATGATAGCAATACATAGATTTCACAACTACATTCCATCCTAGGCTCCACGCTTCAGAGATCCAGGAAGGTGGGAGGAAGACGTGCAGGTATAAAAGGAGGATGTTAACGAAACAATAGTATCAAATCACATCTATCCTAACAACAGAGCAACATGATCAAGGTAAAATTAAACTATAGTAAAATATAATTAAAAGTAAGTAAAAATAAGTATTTGTTTTTAAAAATTATTATTTCAGACTCTTGCTGTACTTTGCTTCGTCGGTGTGGTTTTCGCCGATTATGACGGATACGGCGATAACAGTGGACACGACGATCATCATGTAGATTACTATGTAAGTATTTTTTCTTAAAATGACGTATTATTTCGTATATAAAAATATTTCAGTACCGTTTTCCTCTCACAGTCCCCTCCGCATTACAACTACGAATACAGCGTCCACGACCCGAAGACACACGACGTGAAGAGCCAGTACGAGACCAGGGTAGGAGACGTGGTCAAAGGCTACTACACCCTCCAGGAAGCCGACGGTACTACAAGAGAAGTCCACTACACCTCCGATGACAAGAACGGTTTCAACGCCGAAGTGAAGAGGACTGGCAAGGCATACCATCCCCAGGTCTACCAACAATATCATGAGTCTGATTCCTCTGGCCACCATTACTGAAGTTTTATGTAAATTATTTATTGAATAAAATAAAAAAAATATAAAAAATATGTTCTTTTTATTTTTCATTCTATGTTTGTTTCGATTTTTAAGATAGAAATCTATTCAACAGATGGTAATTCAAACTTATAATAGTGATTAAAAGCTGTTAAACAGTTATGAATAATAGAATATATAACAATAATTATTATTAAAAAAAAGAAATCAGTGATAGTGAAATCCGAAGGAATGAATCCCGAAATTCCGGTCGGTTTATAATTTGAAGGTTTTCAGGCAAGAGTCGTTTTGATTTATGAACTAGAAGAAGTATCAAAAAAGAAACTTTTTTTTTTAACCTAATAATTTAATGATTTCCATTTGTAATAACAATCATTTTAAATTGCCAAGTGAAAAATAATGCTAAACTTGTTTTTTGTGATCCGCTGAACATGAAGCTATTTTTGATAATTTCATCCACTTTTATATTAACTGTTTAAAGTATTTCCATATTCAATAGGTATTTACGCATAGTGCGATCAAGATAAAAATATAAAATAATCAAAGTTAATATAAGATAAAACAAAACAATAATAAGGTAAAAACAGAAATTAGGAAACGATTCAATACAGAATAACCATATAATAATGATTATTATAATTAAAGTACAAAAATATAGAAAGAACAACGGCACTGTGGATTGAGGTAAAATGAGGTCAAATTCACTGAAGTTAAATTACCCAATATTTAAACGGAAATAATATATTAATTTTAATGAATTAAAAAAAGTGAACATTTGAACAAGTGAAAAAAGCGAGTGAAAGTGTAAGAAGATATTGATAATTTATTAACTAGCAACTTATTAACTAGTATCTCGACAGAGTAAATAAAATCGTGAAATAATTTCTAAAGAGAACATCACTAATCTTTTAATATATAATATATTAAAAGATCAATTTTTTTTTTAAGACAAAGGGTATGGGGTGATGGAGAAAATGCTATCATGGTTATTATGAGATTAAAACTTAATTGAAAACATGATAATAATATAAAACTTTTTTTTTTTCTCTTTTTCTCGCCTCTACCCTAAAGGGTCATTAGCGTTTTCTATATAATTTAAACTCTGTTATAGTAGTTGATAATCTTTAAAAATTTAAACAGGATAGAGACTCTCTCTTCATTGTCTTTTAGTATTTCGTTTAGTGTTTTTTTTACTGTCTTCCTATCATCATATAAACTGACCCCTAAATCCCCACCCCCTATCTTACAAAATGTACTCGAATCATACCAATAGTAGCGTAAAAAGAAAAACAAGAATAAAATAGTATTTATAAAGTATAATAATAACAAACGTGTAAAAATAAGAATTGAAATAATGTATATAAAATATAATAATAACAACTATAGCCAATAATAGAGAAAAAGATCAGTCTACCCAAGGATAGGAAGTCAGACATATATATAAAATAAGATAATTAATAATTAAAGGACGATAATTATAATTAGAAATATTGATAATTAATACACGGATGGTACCACCTGCGTTCCAATTTTTCAACTAATTATTATTTAATCAGTGCCATTAACAGTTAAGAAATATTAATTACAGATTATAATGATAAAATTATATACTTTAATAGATTGGAGATAAAAAAATCTGACTAATAAGTTAATGATTAAGGAAAACAGGCAACACGTCGTCATATAACAATGAAATATGTTACTGATGTATCAAAGTAAATGTATCTATAATAATTAAAATATTTATTATATTTATTTTAATAATTATTTTTTTACTAAAAAAATGGGCACTCTTTTTTTAAAAATAGATTAGTATAATAAAAACTGCAAATAAATATATCTATGTTATTGTACCATATTATTCAGTTTAATTCAAATACAAAGCTTATGTATGAATAATTGAAAATAGTTGAATGAGCACAATGCGTAGAATAAATTGCAAATAATAATTATAATTTAAAAAATATGTTTTAAGCCAATGGAAAAAAAAGAAGAAATAGGTAACAGAAAAAATATCTATAGGAGTAAATGAACTAAATCCTATGTGAAAGAAATAAAATGTCATATTATCATTGAAAAATATTCAAAAGGCACTGTACACTACATTGGTTTCATCAAAACCTATTAAAATATGGATAAACAACCATAATAAAGGAACTGGCTTATTAACTTTTTAAAAATCATTATAACTTACACTTCATAACTTAAGCCCACTTCTTTACTTAATCTTGGATATATGCTTTGTAAATAATGTTATAAAAAAAATAAAATTAACAAACATCAAATCTTTCAGATACCAACCAAAATATTTAATAACAATAACAAAAGCACTCTGGTATAATATCAACGTAAATTTATACACTGACTGACTGTCAACGAACACAGCATTCCAATACGATTTCATGAAAAAAATATTAGAACACCCTGACACTCTTAAATTATATTACAGAAAAACTCATGTAACAGTCGTAGATGGGAGAATAGAAGTAGGATCACATCCTCGTGAAACAAATTTTAATATTACCCCAGGAGAAGATGTCACGGAGTATTGCTCTAAACGAATTATTCTCAGTTATTATGTTTTTCTTATAAGATGATTGTCTATATAAAATTTGGAAGGAATAAAAGTGATGATTTTTTTTTTTTAGAATGGACGAATTAAGTACGAAACTTCGAACAGAAATAAAGCGTGTAAAAATCAAGAGGTGTTATAATTAGAAGAAAAAACTTGTATAGTGCACTTGACGATGTCAACTATCCCGTTTTATGAAGAAGTAGTATGACGAGAAATGAAGAAACGGTGCCTACTTACTAAGTATATAAGGACAGAGAACAAGGCTAGAAGCAAGTTGAAGCAGTGCAGTCAAACCACTAACATGTATAAGGTATTAGTCTAGTATATTTACTTTATATATTAACTTATATTATTAATCAATATTCTATTACTTTATTTAATTATTCACCTTTATATAGATCGCTTTGTTAGCTTGTTTCTTGGGTGTAGCAGTGGCACAGTACGGTCACAACTACGGACATCATGAAGAACATCACGTAGATTACTATGTAAATATTAATTTGAAGTTATTTGACAACCTTCCGGAATGCATACAATAAAATATATTCTATGATTACAGGCTCCTGCACATTACAAGTTCGACTACAGCGTCCACGACCCTCACACCTATGATGTGAAGAGACAAGAAGAGACCAGGGAAGGAGACGTGGTCAAGGGCTACTATTCCCTTCATGAACCCGATGGTACCGAGAGGATCGTCCACTACACCGCAGATCCTCACAACGGGTTCAACGCCGTCGTAGAGAGGAAAGGACACGCTGTCCACCCTCAGCATTACGGACACTCCTCTGAAGCTTACTACGGACACCATTCTGGTGGATATTCAGGATACTCTGGTTCTTCTGGTGGGTATTCAGGATACTCGGGTTCTTCAGGTGGATATTCAGGATACTCGGGTTCTTCTGGCAGAAATTCAGGATCATCAGGAGGTTACTCCGGTTACAGACGTTACTAAACCATAGTTAAAAAGTGTACATAATTTCTTTTTTATATTTTTATAAAATATTTAAATAAAACTAAACAATAAAATTTAATTAGCACATGCCTTACCACCATCGATTCCCTAGATTAAGTAAAAATGATTATAAAGGAAGGAGATGATCCGGGGTAGCGGTCATAAATAGGCTAAATAGTGGCAAAGCCAACGTTTCGATCCGAATTTGCAGGTCTTTTTCAGGGCTAGAACGGGCAAGATACAAACAAGTAAAGTGAATTGTAGAAGTTACATAATATTAGGACAAAAAATTATAAACAATGTGAATAAGCTTGTTAAAATTATAAACAGTAGGTAGATTAAAATATAAACAGAGTAAGCTAAGTAACAAGATCCTAAATTGAAATAAATAGATGGTAACAATTGTTTTAGTGTAATATATAATATAATGCAAATGTGAATACACTTCTACAGATATACAGGAGAGATTGAAAGAAAAGTAAAAAGGATATAATATGAAATAATAGACACAAAGCAATGTGGAGAAATAAAAGAAAAAAGAAAACCAAAAAATAAATAAATAATTATATAAAATTAGAAGAATAAAAATAAAGACTTACAGGTATGTCTCTATTTGTCTATTGTTTCATATTGTATCCTGTTTATATTTTAATGTACTTACTGTTTATAATTTAAATAAGCTTGTTCACATTGTTTATAATTGTTTATGTAACTTCCACAATTCTCTATATTTTTTGTATCTTGTCCGTTCCCTGAAGAAGACCTACAACGTCGGCTTTTAATAAAATAGTTTTGCCACTATTTAGTCTATTTATTACCGCCACCCCGAACAATTTCCTTCCTTTATAATGCAACGGTCAACTGTCAAATATTCAATAAAAATGATTATATAACAATTACAGGGAATCCACTAAGGTGAAGAATAATAAATGCTAAATTAGAGTATGGGTAGAAAAAGGAGCATAGTACCGATAGGTATTAAGGCATATTACAGATATTAAGTAGTGTGAAACATTTTTAAAAAAAAGTTTAAATATGTAATGAGTAATTGATGTAATAGAGTCAAGTACATAAAAATATATGAACTAGAAAGAAGTAAGTTTCAATTATTAATAACTAAGACTGCGTATAGTAGAAAAAATAAAAACAAACATAAAGTTCAACTTAAATGTTGTCGACTGATGATAAAACTTCGAAGGTTAAGTTAGGCCATGTGATTCGGATGGAGGAAGGTGGTATTTCCAAAAGAGTTGTTGAGGACCTGAGATGGGAAAATGCTAATCTGAGTACCGACTACCAAGTATTTTATTCAAATTATGTCACTATTGGGAATTCAATCACTACTTTAGGTAATCGTTTGACATCAATCGAAGTAGAAATTAAATTCTTTACTACTCCATAATAGTTAGTATTTAAGTTAACTACTTCAAATCTCTGCATGTCCACGGATTTTTATACTTTTGTGCTGTCTGAATCGAATTGAGTTGGGAAAAGTGTATTTTTTTCTATTTCGACAAATTAAATTGAGAAAGAAATTAAAAATGTTAAAACATGAGAAAATAATTCAGTTACTAAATTGATTTTAATATTTTGTTCCATTTACTCACGATGGAGAGGAGATTAAGGTTAGGCTGAAGGCGGGAAGTGCTTGTTATTTTTCTGTGACAAAACTACTTAGCTCTTGTCTCGGAAATTAAAAACTAGAATCTATAAAACCATTATCTTACGTACAGTTCTTTATGGATGTGAACATTAGCCGCTTACATTAAGGGATTAGCAACGTCTTAAGGTTTTTGAAAATAAAGTATTACGTAGAATATTCAGGCCGAAGAAGGATGAGTTAACCGAGTTTAGACCGTTACACAACGCCAAATTGCGTGAACTGTATTCGGTTAATATAATTGAGGTAATTACATCGCGGCGAATCAAATGGGCTTGAAAAATTGTTGGGTATCGAAAGAATTCCTAAAAAGATAATATTTGTTGTACCGAATGGCAGACCGAAGCGAAGATGGGAAGATCGGGCTTTAAGTCCAATCTGAATGGACTGGGTTTGGACGGTGAACGGTGGAGGGAGGTGTGTAATAAGCGATTGGTGATGGAATCGAACCTCCGGCTTCGCTAAGCCTTTTATTATTATTATTATTTCTCATGATAAGCATCAATGATACAACTAGATACTTTAATACTTGCTGCGTTAACGATATATTTTCTAAACGAAATGAGGGAAAATGTGAAGTTTATGACCGATCTTTGTTGCTATTTTTCGTTCAATAATTATAAGCGATATACTATAAATAATAAAAAAAATTGATAATTAAACAATAAAAATAGTAAAATTTAAAGAAAACTTTGTACCTACATTCTATTTATATATAGATATTTCAATCATTATCATTATATAATTAAGCGTTGTTAGATAAAAAGCGAATCTAAGAATATTTAAAAAGTATATTGGGACATAAACTGTGAGCCCTGTTTGAAAAATATTAATTCAAGGAGAAAAATAAACATAAAAAAAAAAACATGAAATAAACTAAACCAAAATAACACACTTAAGATAATACCAATAACTTTTCTGTTTTCTTACGGCTCCTTAACAAAAATGTTGTTGCTTTCGATTCTTATTGAAGAGTATAAAATTTAGGAAACTAGATAGCTAACCTGTGTTCTAAAATAAGGTCCGCATTGTAATTTCTTATTTTGGAAGTTGCTACAAAACTTAATCAAGTAGAAGTATCGCTATCCTTAAGTACAGTATAGTTATATTGGAGTAAATCATTTTAATAAAATGAATTCAAACAACTAGACAATCTCGATATGGAATTTAACGATAGTATCTATCGACTAATTAGGATGGTAATACTAGATCTATATTTCATAACTACATTCCATCGAAAGCGCAATGCTTCAAGATATCAGAGTGGTGGAAGGAAGATGTGCAGGTATAAAAAGGAAATCCAGGTGAATTGGTCAGTATTAACTCTCAACTCTTCCAACAACAAAGCAACATGATTAAGGTAAAATTAAACTACAATTAAATTAAATCATAATAATTATTGAAACATTGATTTTTTAAAATTATTGTTATTATTTCAGACTCTTGCTGTACTTTGCTTCGTCGGTGTGGTTTTCGCTGATTATGACGGATACGGCGAAAATAGTGGACACGAAGATCATCATGTAGATTACTATGTAAGTATTTTTTCTTAAAATGACGTATTATTTCGTATATAAAACTATCTCACTACCGTTGTCCTCTCTCAGTCCCCTCCGCATTACAACTACGAGTACAGCGTCCACGACCCCAAGACCCACGACGTGAAGAGCCAGTACGAGACCAGGGTAGGAGACGTGGTCAAAGGCTACTACACCCTCCAGGAAGCCGACGGTACTACAAGAGAAGTCCACTACACCTCCGATGACAAGAACGGTTTCAACGCCGAAGTGAAGAGGACTGGCAAGGCATACCATCCCCAGGTCTACCAACAATATCATGAGTCTGATTCCTCTGGCCACCATTACTGAACTTTTATGTAAATTATTTATTGAATAAATTTTTTTTTTTATAAAATGTAAGTTCTTTCAACTTTTCGACAGACTCGACCTCACACGTGCATAAATATTGAAAATTATTTAAGTTGTAAAACAAAAAAAAACAAAAATTTAAAAACCTATAAGTCAAACCTAAAAATTTGAAGAGTTAGGATTTAAGCCTCTAAATTGATTGTTACGGAATGATATCAATCTAATTTATCGAATACTTTCAAAATACATAACATTTGACAGAAACAACATAGTGGCCATTTTTGTTTAAAATGCTATGTTGAATTCAATAAGGATGTAATTTTTTTCTTGAATTAAAAAAATAATAATTAGAAAACGAACTTATTTATTATCCTGAATTATTTCTTTAGATTTAGGCTAACAACAAATTTTGTGTCTTTGTGATAAAACTTCCAACTGTTAATTAAAAAAAAAACAGATTTATTACAAAATATTTGTGGCTTGTAATTAATTTAACTGTACTCGTACATAGCAGGGAATCTTTTTATCATTAGAGACCGAATTAAGGTGAAACAATGATAATAGAGGCCGCAATATTTGTTTTAATAATTTAGTGTTGCTATTTTTCTTTATTAGTAAACACATGCATAACCATATACACATATTCAATCTAATGTTCAAATTTTTGTAACATAAATAATTTAATATTAATCACCTGTCATGGTTGTGACAATTGGCAGATTTGTTGTCAGGAAGAAAATGGCATGATAGGCATGACGAAGAGTGGAACCCAGCAGCACCTCTTCCCTGGTCTGTTTACACCCTAAAATCTGGAAAGGAGATCTCTCAACCAGCTCCTTTTCAGTCGCCTCCTGATGAGCATTTCATCCGTGGCCAGGTCGTTGATAAGTCCATTGTGATGTCCGTGTAGTTTAAGATGAAATCGGGAGTAGAGAGTACGTATGTGCTGGTCAATGGTTGGTTGTCTTAGGTCGGTATATAAATTCTTGGTGTTGACGTACCAAGGAGCTGCAGTTATTAGTCTTAAAATTTTAGACTGAAAGGATTGTAATCCTAGTGCTAGATTAATAAAAAACACGTAAAACTAACGAAGACGGCAGGTAGCTTAAGAAGGCCAATGCTGCGATCTTCCAACTTAGGACTAGTCCATCTGATCAAGAATCAGTATGAATGATTTTATTCTGAATTACATGAAAAATGATATGACATTAATAGTAATATCGGGTAGGTGAATTCACGGCACCTTGGCATCAGTTAAGATTGATTCAGTCAAGGGAGTTCACTTGCTATTATCTTTAGTGAAGAGGAAAAGAGAAAAGTTGATAGATTTTTCCTCTTGATACAGAAGTATTACAGGTGTTAAAACATAGTTAATGGATTAAAGTATTTTTTCGATTTGTTTCAAGTTAATATTGAACAACGGAGGCGGGGTGGCCGAATAGGCTAAAGCGTGTGCACAGCACCGCTAGTTGCCTGGCAACCGGATAACAGAGATTTGAGATGATATAAAAAGTACGAGTTCGCGTCTCGGTGCCGGAGGGGATTTTAAATTCCCCGCCCTCACCCCCCGGCCCGGGAAAATCCCGTATAGCAAAAAAGTTAATATTGAACAGTTGGTTTAATGTGTTTGTGTATAAATTAAGTAATTACCCAAATTAAGTTATTGTGTTTAATTTTATTCTAATGGCCTTTAAATCAACTACCAGAAGATTAAACTAACGACACATAGGAGCAAAGAACAATGCAAATTAAACAACCACAATTTAGGATATTTAGAGGAGTATTTCTATTTGGGTCAGTTGGTATACTTCACAGATAAAAAAGTAAAGAAAATCCAAAGGAGAATGACACTCCGCTAGAATAAGTTTTGGTCCCTCAAGCATATTATGAAAATAAATATGAGTATTGACCTGAAAAGACAGGTCTTCGAAAGTTGTATTTATACCAGCGGTTACCCATGGATGGCAAGCTTGACATAGATAAAAGCTTAAGAGAGAAACATAAAGGTGTGACAGAACAACTTTGAAAGATATATTATGAATGTGAGGAAAAGGGATAGGACGATAAATGCCTAAGAATCACAGAAACATTTGGGTAGAAAAGACTGAGTGGATGGAAATGGCCTGGGTTTCTCCTTTGATGTGGAGATAATAGATAGACAAGAATTACACAGAAGGAGGGAAGCGATATTTTTTTTTATTTTCTCCCCTTCCTCGTCTTTTAGGCTATACAAGATTTTCCTGGTCCAGGGGAGAGGGTGGGGAGTTACTCCGGAGTAAAGAGTCCCGCTGGCATCGAGATTTGAACTCGCAAACTTTATAAACTTTAGTTTATCACAGATTGCTTCAGGTCATGCATGTTTCTCACACGCGTTAGCCCGCTCGGCCATTCCGCCCCCAAGATGGAGCGATATGTTCAAGTAGGATTCAATAGGAACACTCAAGTGGGTGCCAAACAGTGCCAGTGGCCTGAGGAAGTGCTTAATATTATTCTTGAAAAGGAAGGCCTGTGCACGAAAGGATGAAGACAAGAAAAAGGAAAAACAAAATAGTCAATATTATTAATTTATCTTCTCCTATAAATAATGAATATTTATTTGATTGTATTATTTATAACATTTTTAGCATAAATAAAGGTTATTTATCTATAAAAATAAGTCTATTCATACGAGTTTAGTTCAAAATCTGTTTAAAAATAGGAAAATATAAAATATGTTGCGATGGGACAGATTAGTCAAATGTGACGTTTTGTGTCTTGGATGCCCCAAACCTTCCTTTAATGAGGATGTCCAGGAGTTCAGTGCTTAAGCTACCAGCGGAGAGTACATATGATTTGAAAGAATTCGTATGTAGAAAGAGTAGAAAAAATGTCATGGGTTTATTTTATGGTTATTAATACTTTGTAAATATATGTATCGATGAAAATGATATTAATCTGTAAATTAAATATTAAATTAGAAGTTAAATACTTTAATAAAATAAACGCTATTGAAAGATACAAATATGTAATTTTTTATGTTCGGCACTCTTTCCAACATCAGTCCAGCTACAAAATCTATTATGGGCCAATTTAATCCGAATAAGGAGTACGTCAGACTATTTGATATAAGTTTAAAAAATTAATATTCCTATGATTATTAAATAATACAGTTTTCGATTGTGTAAGTTTTATTTCAACCTTTTCCAATAAAAATACTAAATAAAAAAGTGGACTAATATGTCCCGGTTATTCACTAATCCATTTTTTTGAATGAAAGTCTGAAATATGTAATAATAATGGTTCCCAACTCTGTAAATACTTTCACTTACTACGTCAAATTTTATTTTTAAGAATATTTTAAAAGTCGGACAAAACTTAGGTATCGTTTCATGCAATTCCTAAAAACAGCTGAAAAATAATGAATCTATAAAACACAGTCGAATTGTCGTGGTCAAAGTCAAGGTTAGTGGTTTGCTATTACAATATATTATATTATGCATGCAATAAATTATATTATGCTGAAAAATATTTTAGTCGAGTTAAAGCGTGACAACTCAATTTCCAACACTTTGGTATTCATTTCGAAATCAGTTACAGGCAACTTGTTTCTTTTTTACGTAGGATATCTTTCCAACTAGACCATAACTGGAAACTGATAAAATAACGGATAGTAAAAAGTATTAAATACAATTTGTTTATTTCAGATAAAGATCGTTATAGTAGCTTGATAATATAATTGTATTGTCACGGTAATTTGTAATTTTATGAGTCAAATGTTACCCATTAACCTCTAAGTGTGTAATATTGGATTGGTTCATATATCAATTGGTGTGGACTGTAAGGGGTTTGAATAACTGAAATTAAATATTTGTGGAACGAAACATTATTGTATTGAGTATAATGGATACAAACAAAAATAAAATTTGTACACATGATATAATTTTGATAATTTTAGAAATAAATATATAACTGATGATGCAAGAAAAAAAAATTACAATATCTTTGGTTTGGCATTGTAAGGTTTAAAGTTAAGTAATTTTGATTCAGAGAAAAATGTATCATACTCAATGTGGATTCACTTGCTGTTTAAAAAATTATCTTCATTTCTTGGCCTCCTCTTCTTCCTTGTACTTCCTCCATCAGGATATTTCACTTAGATTAAGAAAATCATGTTTTTTAATTAATATCTGGTCAAAAAATAAATGAGTGTCCACACTTTACTAATGCCTTGGCTTAACTTTGCAGGAAAATTGATTCCAAAATCGAAGACAATAAAATTGTGATGAGGTCCAGAATTATATAGAAATATTTGTTTCCCTTTTTTAGTATTTCAGAGTTTGATTTCTGAACGATAACATTCTTTCATAAATAACTAAGAATAAATTATTTTTCTGAGGCGTTGTATAACTGATTTGTGACTGATTTCAGTCCATTTTTTAAAATTTTAATATTGTTTTAAAGTGCATTTCTGTAAAACTTTTATTATTACTTCAATAAATATTAATTAAAAAGTTTATTTATAAAACACAAAGCTACAAAGAAGGAAAACCGATGTACCAGAAATTAGTTCGATCAATTTTTTACTTTTCAACATGTACTAAGTAAGGAAAGTATTGCGATCGGATCAAATTTCCAATATGCGGTTTTCGACGAATCTGTGCGTTTCAGAGCCCCTTGAGTCCGAAAAACACATTTTTAGACATCGATCTGTCTGTCTGTCTGGGCCAAGATTTTCTCGGAAACTAGTAAATCGATTTTGTTGCTTCTTTTTTTTATTTTGTAGGGTTTTGACTACTGATGCCTGTGACAGAAATTGGGTGCTCAGTGCGCAATAGTGGCTGCGCAATTAATGAAAAAATATGTTTTTCTGTAGACTAGCGCAAAAACGGCTCAAACGATTTTCATGAAACTTTCCTACAATGTTCAAACGATTGTCAATTTTCGTGCATGTACGGAATTCCCACGAAAAGTAAGGAAAAAAAGTTTAAAAATAATAAGAAATTTGAAAGGTAATTAAATTA